CTATCTCATCAGGGGATGAGATCTCTCAACATGAGGAGAATTGATGTAGGCAAAGTTTTGGGTTTCCCCCCCTTGGTCGCCGAATGATGTTTCATATTCCCCCTGTTGATGATTCGGTTTCCTCCCCCATTGGATGCCGTTTGATGCTTTAGTTTCCCCCTTTTGGCAGCTATTTTGCTCCAGTTTTCCCCCATTTACTGTCGCATTTTCGGTTCCTATTTGCTATGGTTTTTGAGGAAATCCTAGTGGTTGTTTGGGTGGTGTATTTATTACCTTGCATTAAATATATATTTTTTTCCTTTTCTTCCCTATATATAGTGGTTGTTTTCCTGTAGTTAGCATAAGAGTTTGAATGATTTTTGGATTGTAAATATACGGATTTTTACTAGCTTGTGAGCTAGCCTCCTCCTTCCCCTCTAAAACTTCATCTCGGTCTTTTACCCATTCTTCTCTATTAAAGGTTCCTGTCCCATCTGTATCATTCTTCTCAAAATTTTTTGTAAGTTTTAAGGGTGAGTTGTGTCAATGTGTAAAATCTAGCGTTTGTCGTTGTAATATTTATTATTATATTTATGTTCTAATAAGGAAGACCTGAGTTCTTTGCAATCTCTTTTTTTTGATTGCATCAACTCTCCAAGGCTCTCTAAGCTGCAGCTCCTAGCAAATCCTGCAGTTGCAAACTCTAGCTTCTACAATTGCTAGCTTCGAACACCTGCAAATAAAAAAGCAAAATCAAGATAGAGTGGTAAACAATAAAAAAAAAAAAAAAAACTAGTACTGAAAGAGAAAATGTTGTATTAAAATAAAACTGGTACTGAAAGAGGAAAGCTAGTATTAAAAAAAAGAGAAAACTAGTACTATAGGCAAAGCCAACATTGATACAAAATACTAGTATTGGTGTCGAGGCAGTGAAGTGTGCAAAATTACACAACTGTTGTTAAAACCCGACAACTTTTAATAGAGGTCGTAAGTCTGACTTTAGTTAATGTGTTAGGGAAAATCTCTAGGTAAAAGTAACCTAACTCAAAATCTCACATGTATGCTACTTTCAATGAAATCAGTAAGTCCCAACCTTTTAAACCCTTGGCTACTTTCAATAAAAGAAGTATATGCTAAAATTCGTGTCAGACAATACAACAAGAATGCAGTTTTGAATTTGGGTTCCACCACACATCACTCCTCTATATCTGATGTTGTTAACTCCATTATTGAACATTTTAAAACCTTATACCACCCTCTATCGCCTACTCATAATAATATGGATGTCTTCATTGTTGGAACTTGTATAGCCACTTCAATGCCTCAAATCCTTATCCAACATGTCACTGATTATGATATTAAAGCAACAGTTTTTTCAGGAGCTTCATCATCAGCTCTAGGACCAGATGGATTCAACTTTCATTTTTACAAATCAGGATGGCACATTATAGGCCCGATTTTTTGCCAGTCTGTTTGATCTTTTTCCCAGAATGGTTCTCTCTCTAATAGTGTGAAAGCTACGGCTCTAACCCTCATACCCAAATCAAAACATGCCACAACTTTTTTAGACTTCAGACTAATTGCCTTATGCAACGTTCTTTACAAAATCATTACAAAAGTTTTAGCCAACATACTCAAATCCATGCCATTGATTATAAAAGACAACCAAGCCAATTTTATTAAATCTAGAATTTATACTGACAACATCATCCTTGCCAAAGAATTCCTTTCACTTGCTAATAAGAGGAGTGATCATATATATTTTTGCACCAAGCTGGATATTCGCAAAGCATTTGATACAGTTTCAAGGGAATTCATTATTTCTCGGCTTGAACAAAAAGGCTTTCCTAGCACCTTGAGTAAATGGATCTAAGCCTGTATTTTTGATGTTAATTGCTCATTTGTGATAAATGGAGCTTTAGAAGGCTATTTCCCCTCATCAGCAGGTCTTAGGCAACGATGTCCACTTAGTTCTTACCTTTTTTGTATTTTCATGGAAGTCTTCTCAGCTCTTCTTGATGAAAGAGATTTTGTGGGCATCAATTTGAATGGCTTCAAACTGATCCATCCACTATATGCGGACGATCTTTTGGTTTTTGGAAAATCGGAGGTGGCTAATTGCAACAAATTCATTGCTATTCTCAACTATTTTGCAAATGCGTCTGGTCTCCATGTTAACTTTGAGAAAAGCTTTATTATGGTTCACAAGAGTATTAAAATCACTAGGCCATTTGTCATACTCTCTCCATTCCTAATCTTAGCTCTAAAATCTCTTATTTGGGTATCTCTTTCTCTTTTAAAAGATAATTTGTGACTGATTTCTCCCCTCTAATGGAAAATATCACTATGAAACTAAATTGATGGAAAGCAAATATCCTTTCTTTTGTAGGTCTCCTATAATATCTGAAATTCACCGTTCAGAACACCATTGCATATTGGATTCGAGGTTCGATTATATCTATGACTGTTATTAAATTTATTAGGGAGTATTCATCTAGATTTTTATTTTATGTGGATATTACCACTGCTAGGAAATTGAGATTGGTGTCTTGGGACAAAGTATGCAAACCAAAAATACTCGAAGGACTGGGGTTGCCTTCCATTCCGGTCCTTCAATCCGCTTTCAATTGCTCAGTTATTAGTATAATGTATAATCATTCATCTCCCATATCTTCATGATTTATCATGTAATACTCCTCTCCTTGGAGCCTTGTTTTGGTTTTTGCTTCCAACTTCTGGAAATCCATTTACTCAACTGCTGCTGTGGTTAGAAACTCTTTTAAGTTTCAGGTTACTCCAACCTCTCACATCTCTCTGCATTGGGACCATTGGTGTGATGACTTTACTCTTGCTGCCATCCATGATGGCAATGCATTGCTTCAACTTTATGACCAAAAAGCTTTTGTTAAGGATTTAATCATCGGGAATCATTGGAATTTGCCGAATTTTCTGCCTTCATATGTTGCAAACGCTATTAAAGCCATCCTATTTATGATTCATCGGTCAATTCCTTAAACTGGGAAAACTCTACTATTGGTACTTTCGGCCAATACCTCAAAGAATTTTACAAAGACCAACCAGTTTGCACATGGTCTAGTATGATTTGGTACAAAATGTATGCATTGAGATTCTATACTTTTGCTTGGCTTTTTGTTGGACTTAAAACTGTAGATATTTTACTTCAAAGAAATATTCAGGTGGATCATACTTGTCGTTTATGCCACTCCTCGAACGAAAGTATTTTGCATATTTTCTTTGAATGCAACTATTCATATTCAGTTCTACTTAGCGTCATATCGGGGTCATTTGCTTTGCTTCTAAGACCCACGATTTTGCAAATGCTGGTTTGGATTAATGATCAAGAAAATCTTGAGGATCATACTATAAATTTATATTATCTCATTGTTTTTTGCGCTATCTAATTTATCTGGAAAGAAAAAAAAGAAGAGTTTCAGGAACTTTATGCATAGTAACTCTACCACCTACACCAATATTAAGAATGCAGTTTTTACGAAGCTTAGCAAGTGGAAAAATTTGGACTATCTTATAGGTCTTTTGTAAGGATTTTTGGTTGTTTAGCATTTTTTCTACCTGATGGTTTTGCGCTACTAGTGGGAGGCTATATCGATTTTATGATTACAATTATTATGCTTGTAGGGACCTTACTTAGCCACAAACAGTGACGTGCCTCGTTCTACTGGTCACTCCTTGGATGGCCTTTGGGAAATCAGGGGCCTGCATCTCTTCTTCATGAATAATCTTAATCTGACTTATACTAAGTCCTAGCTGCTATGGCTTTTGAGGCTTCGTGCATTCATGTTGTTGTTTAGATCAAGCCTTTTTGCTGTTTTGTGGCTCTCAACCCTTGTTATGCTGAAGCTAATCAAATTTTGTTAATTTTTTATCATTCATTTTGTTTTTGGCTCACTCGAGCTTGCTCCCCTTTTTTATGGAGAACTTTGTTTCTTTTCACAATTTGTATGTTTGAGGCTTTATTAATATTCAGGCTTTGCCCAAATTTCTCCTCAAAAAAAAAAAAAAAAAAAAAAGTCGACGCAGTAATAATCTCTCCTCGTAAATAAGACGTTCGTCCCTTAACCGCTAGTAGGAACTTCCTAGGAGCTGCAGACAATAGCTAGAAATGCCCACCGAATCTCCCGCCTTCCTCCGCGCTGCGCGACCGCGAGGTCTTGCCGAGGCGTTAGATGCCGGGGCCAGCCTGGCCGTGGCATGGCTGCCGATGGCCAGAGTATTAAACCAGGTACCATAAATACTATATTCTGATCGAAGTAAATGCAGGCCTATCCTCTCGCTTGACGGGAGAAAAAGTAAAACGATGAAAGGTGGAAGGTTAAACAGCATTGAGTACCGCAAAACTAACATTCCATCTCCCCAGTCCGCACCTAAATCTATTCAATGCACGGGGCCCCTGGATCCGTAAAAGCAACTCTCTGCCCGGCTCCTAGGCTCGTCCAGACCTTTCTTCCCTCCCTCGTCTCAATGGCTTACATAAACTCCTCCGCTCCCAACCATTTTCAACTCCTTTCTTCAGCCATCTCCTCTCTCCGTCCATCCTGATGGGGGCCTTAGCTTTGTCGCCTCGCGTCTCTTCATTCAACCTCCATGCTAAACCGTATTAGGAGATGAATAATTCATTGTGCTTTCCTCTTCGACGATGTTGTCATTGGCGGCAAATCAGTGGAGGGACGATTGGCCCCTTTATTTTGCTTCTTTTTGCACGAACACCCCAGGGGATAACCCAGCCTAATCAATTTCAGTTTTTGCTTGCATGATTCGGCTTATTATACGGTTATTTTGAATACTTTGATACTCCAAGTTCATTTCAAGATTCATGTCATTCCCCAGGTTCCAGCCAGCCTAAATATGGTTTTTAGGAGTCCATTAAGCTTTGTATCTTATATAAAATATGCTAATTTTCGATATGTTTGGAAATCTGAGGGATTTATATTATTTTAAGGCTTTAATTTGAACAACGAAAGTGGCTTTCAATTGCTTTGTAGGTGGATGGCTGGGTTATTTCTCATATGACACCATGCGATATGTTGAGAGGAGAAGGCTTCCATTTTCGAGCGCTCCAAAGGATGATAGGAACCTCCCTGACATCAACTTAGGTTTATATAATGATGTGATAGTGTTTGATCATGTCGAGAAGGTATCGCAGTTGTTTTCTTTCAAACTTTGATAACGTAAATTTACTGTGTGGTGTTATTTCTTGGTAATATTTGACTTCGTACCTAATTTATCCTTTTTTTTTTCTTTCTTCTTTTTATTTTCCTCATTTCTTAACCTTTTCAATTAATAAATTGTTTAAATTTTGAAATCGTCCAGATACATATTGAAATGATCCCCAGCAGAAACTTTTTCTTTCAGATTGGATGTGCTAATTATTATTATGCTTGCTTTGATAACTACTAAAGAAAAGAACAGAGAACGAGACACAGAGAAGTGGAAGAAGAATAAAATGGAATTGATATATTAACGCAGGTGTACAGTGATCTATATATAAGCTGTCTAGAGATAAGAATTGATCAAGTGCATACACGTGTAGAGTGCAGATAATAAGTAAAGAATTTAAAGATTGCAGGATCCTTGTGCTGACATGGATATACTGTTAATAGGCCCCCTCAAACTGGTGCATCTGAAGGTGTAACTAGTTTGTTTCCCAATTGTTGAAATCAAGAGATAGACAGAGCTTTTGTGAACACGTCGGCTATTTGGTCTTTGGTAGAGATGTGATGTATAGTGACTTCATTATTCTTGATGCAGTCTCGTATGAAGTGACAATCGACTTTGATGTGTTTTGTTCGAGCATGGAAGACGGGGTTATTGGCCAAGGCTGTTGCTGAAGTGTTGTCACAAAATAGTGGTATTGGTTGCGAAACAGAGCAGTTAAGTTCGTTATGTAGTCAACAAATCCATATGATTTCAGCGGAGGCCAAAGCTAGCGCACGGTACTCTGCTTCAGTAGAAGATCTAGCGACTACTATTTGTTTCTTTACACTCCAAGAAATGAGGGATGAGCCGAGGTAATTGCAATAACCGGAGATTGATTTACGATCTGTGGAGATACCGGCCAAGTCGGAATCTGTATAAGATTGAAGACGTATTGAGTCACGAAATATTGGTAGACCGATATGACACGTACTTTGAATGTATTGAAGTAGTCATTTAAGAGCTTCAAAGTGAGCATTGGATGGATTCTGCATGTGTTGGCAGACTTTATTTACTGCGAAAGAAATATAGAGTCTAGTGAGAGTAAGATAGTGAAGGGATCCAGCTAGTTGACGATAGAGTGTGGGGTTGGGGAAGGCGGTTGAAGTGGAGGGTTTGGAAGAAGATTTAACCGGGGATGGAGTTGCGACGGGTTTGCATGCGGACATACATGCTTTGAGTAAGATAAATTCAACAAACCTGGTTTGATTTAAGTGTATGCCGTAAGAGGTGTGAATAGCTTGAATGCCGAGAAAGTGAGAAATTGAGCCAAGGTTTAGCATACGAAATCGATTGTGGAGTTTTTGTAGGAGATCTTGGATGGATGATTGAGAGTTACCTGTTAGGAGTATATCGTCCACATAGACAAGGAGATACATGAGGATGTTGGATTGATTATAGATTAGTGAAGACGGGTCAGAGTCACTGGTTTTGAAGCCGAGGGAGTGCAGATGACTGGAAAGGGTAGCAAACCACTAATGAGGTGATTGCTTTAGACCATAGAGAGCCTTTTTCAGTTTGCAAACGTAGTTAGGATGTATGGTGTCAAGGAAGCCAGGTGGTTGTTTCATGTAAATAGTATGGTTTAAGTGACCGTGAAGGAAAGTATTAGACACGTCCAACTGATGAATTTGCCAGTTGTGATGAAAAGCAATATAGAGGAGAATCCGAATAGTTGGCATTTTCGCTACCGGACTGAACGTGTTCGTATAGCAAGTCCGTATTTCTTGATTGAAGCCTTGGGCGACTAGGCGAGCCTTGTATCTGGCTATAGTGCCATTAGCTAGGAATTTTGTACGAAACGTCCAGCGACAACCAAGAAGATTTTGCGAGGAGTGTGGGGGGACAAGTTCCCACGTTCCTTGGGATTGGAGAGCTTGAAATTCGTCAGACATGGCCGTTCACCAGTGTTCAAATTTGTTGGCCTCGGTGTAGGTTGTAGGATCGGTGAGATTTTGTTAATGTAAGAGGTTGAATATGGTTTTAGGTTTGAGATTTCTAGTTTTAAGATTAGTTTGGATGTGATGAGTTGGTTTCGGGATGGGTGGAGTAGTACTGGTATGCAAGGAAGAACCGGATGTGATATTGTTTTGAAGTTGAGGAGAAGGTGATCGGTTACGGGAAGATTGAGTGAGCTAGGTAGTGTCGGGTGAAGAGTTAGCTGGAATGGATGGATTGCATCTAGAGGTAGGAACAAGTAGAAGGGGAGGCAACTATTGAGAGGATGGTATGGAGTTGACAGAATTTTGAATTTGATTGAAAGGGAATATGTCTTCATTGAAAATTATGTGCCTAGATACGTAGATTTTTCCCGTATGGGGATGAAGACAGCGATACCCTTTTTGAGTAGTAGCTTATTCGATAAAGACACAAGGTAACGAAAAAGGGGATAGTTTGGACTTGGTGTAAGGACGCAGCCAAGGATAACATAAACATCCAAAATTTTTCAAGTGAGAATATGAATTAATTTATCGTATAGTTTGGCATAAGGACTGAGGTTGTCGAGAGTGGTGGTCGGTAACCTATTAATGAGGTATGTAGCTGTGTGAAGTGCCTCGATCAAAGTGAGGAATGAAGATTGGCTTCAAAGAGAAGACGAATGGTTTCTAGAATATGCCTATGTTTTCTTTCGGCAATGCCGTTTTGCGTTGGAGTGTAAGGACACGAGTATTGATGATTGATACCCCAGTGAGTGCAGAGAGTTTTGAATTTATTATTAATATATTCTCCACCACCGTCAGATCTGAACGTGAGAATGTGTTTATTAAATTGGCATGCAATCATTTTGTTGAATTTGACAAACTTAGAGAAAACTTTGTATTTATGACGAATTGGATAGATCCAACAAAATCTTGAGAAATCATCTATAAACGATACGCAGTAATGATAGCCTTGCATTGATATTTGGGGAGATAGGCCCCATACGTCCGAATGCATGTTCAAAAATACATGAAGTAGTGGTTTTAGATGGAGAAAAAGGGATGCGATGGCATTTTGCCAGTTTATAGGAATTACAAAACTGAGAAGATGAACTAAAACATTTGTTGGGTAGACTTTTCTTTAGACTATGCTGCGTGCTAGAATTGGGGTGGCCGAGCCTACGATGCTAGAGATTAGGAATGGTTTGTCTGGAAAGCAGAGCTAGAGTGTTGTTGGAGGCGGAGAGTTGAAGAGGATAGAGTCCGTCAATACACGGACCCTGAAGAAGAAGGTGGCCGGTTTTCATGTCATGAATTTTGAAACCGTTAGAGGAAAACATGATACTACATTGGTTGTCAGATGTTAAGCGATGAATGGATATAAGGTTAAATGAAAGGTTGGTACATGATAAAGATTTTGTAAATTGAGATTACCAGCCGGGATGGGTAGTATTCCTTTACCGGAGTGTTGGACTGGAAGATTATGTCCGTTGCCAAGAATAACTTGATTATTTCCTATGTAATATTTGGGTGACGCAAGATTGATAGATAAGATGTAAGGTGATTGGTAGCACCACTTTCACGAAACCAATCAGAGTTGGTTGTGGACTCAGTGGGTGAAAAGAGGGCAGGTTTTTGAGCATCTTCACTGTAGGATGAATCGTGACGATGCCAACAACGAAGAGCAGAATGTCCTTTATTGAAGCAAATCTGACAAGTAACGTTGGAGGAAGAATTCCTCTCGGACCGACCGGGATAGCTTTGAGTTGATCGGCCTCAGTTGCTGCGACCGCGATTAGATGTATTTCGACATCTTCCATGACCACGATAAGCTGTAAGGGCCATCTGGGTTTCAGTTACTTGAAGATTGTGGAGATCGCGAGTGATTTCGTTAGCAAGATTATGTTCTTCGGTACTGAGGAGGGTATAAAGATCATCTAGCGAGATGGGATTTAGATTGGTGCCTATAGCAGTTTTAAAAGCTTGATATTGCGCTGGAAGTCCATTCAACGTATAGAGTATGACGTCCTCAGGATCTAGGGGATTACCAGTGGCGGTAATAGCATCAACCTTCGCTTTGATGTTAAGGAGGTATTGGGTCATGCTTTGATCTTTCATTGAGGTGTGATGAAGTTCGTTTTTAAGGTAGATGAGACGAGATTGCGTAGTGGACTAAAGGCGACGAGCGAGCGTTTCCCCGATTTGGGCGCAGTGTTCTAAAGCAAGAACATAGGGCAAGATTGTGGGGGAGATAACCGAGTAAAGTGCAACGGCTAGGTTTTGATCTATAAGAATCCAAGTATGATAGGTGTAGGGATTTGAATCAGATGAATCTTGAGGGGACGGACAGTTGCAAGAACCATCAAGAAAGGTTTCAAATCCATATGCACGGAAAATTTTAAGAATTTGTGAGCTCCAGATGGGGTAGTTGTTGGAACCAGGAGTAGTGGAAATGATGTTTTTGATGTTCCTAACCAGGAATTTGATTTGAGAGGGAATCGGTAGAACCTTGAGTGCGGGAGGTAGGATTAGATGTTGTAGCAGGCGAAACTGAGGAGGACTCCATGGGAGGGAGGGGAGCGACGAAAAGAACTAGGTATCACAGAGTAACCTGCTCTGATACCATGATAACTACTAAAGAACAGAGAACGAGACACAGAGAAGAGGAAGAAGAATAAAATGGAATTCATATATTAACGCAGGTGTACAGTGATCTATATATAAGCTGTCTAGAGATAAGAATTAATCAAGTTCATACACGTGTAGAGTGCAGATAATAAGTAAAGAATTTAAAGATTGCAGGATTCTTGTGCTGACGTGGATATACAGTTAATATGCTTGAGTTACTATATGCTGTTGGCATTTCCATGTTTATTCTCTATCTAAGCAAAGTGAAGTCATCTTTCTATGCTACAAGTTAATATTTAAAAGGTTGTAGAAAGATGAATTGTGTATTGTCAGACGTCTCTTCCAAGTATTTTTCATTAGCTAAAGAAGGTTATTTATATTCTTCTAAGATGCTTTGTGAATAAGATATTGTCTTAAGCAATTGACACCTTCATTCCCTGGGGCTTGAACGATGCTAGTGCTTGTTGCCTTTGCGTATGCAAGAAGCAATTGTACAAACGCCTTCTTTTCTGCTCGATTGGTATGGTTCCAATCTGGTTTGCAGTTTCATTACTCATAAAATTCATCTTTACTAAATCCAATGTGTATAAGGACCCCCAAAGTTTTATATTTTGTTATGGAAGCACGAGGCACAAGAAGTGAAAGATTTTAAAATATATGGGAAATAGGTGTCTTCAAAATTGGATCAGTAATGGGACAAGCTGAGAAAAATATGAATGCTTTCTTCTCCAACTCTAAAACGGATATTACTGTCGTTTTGTTTAAAAATTCTTAAAAAGGTTTATAAGTCTTAATATGACCCTAATGTTGAATGACGTGGGGCCATAATCACTACCATTGTTGAGGTATGCTATCAGTTCAATGCTCGAGCTTGTGAGAATTTTAGAAAATCTGAGTATTTGTGATTGAAAATTTGATAACTTTTTAGAAAATGTTGACATCTTTTATGTTAAGATTTTTCTGTATGCAATACAGCAAAAGATGTTAATTTTTATTCGTTAACTTCTAGAATTCTTTCCCGATGCTTCATGGTGTAGGCTCTGTGCTTTAACAGCTACTATAGCAGCTGGGAACATGAAATTGTCTTGGTGTGTATTCACCTTCATACACATTCGGTTTATGGGCAAATTATTGCATCCGGTCACCGGACGCGGAGATAGGTCCGGATATTAATAAAATATTATTTTAAATTAAGCACAGGTAAAGCGCAGGTAAAGTGCAGGTAAAGTGCAAGTAAAGCGCAGTCAAAAGCGCAGGTCAAAGCGCAGTCAAAAGCGCAACCAAAGCGCAAGTCAAAAGCGCAGGTGACGTGGCAAATTTTTATTGGATGTCCAAACCTATTTTCCGGGTCCGGTGACCGGATGCAATAATTTGCCCGGTTTATGACCCTGGATGTGCATATACGTAACCAACTGCTCATTCTGCAAGTAGTTGGGAACATGACTTTCCATTATCACACAACTCTCCTTGGCCTATTGGTTGAAAGCTTAGGCTTCCAACTAAGAGGTCCAAGGTTCGAGTCCATGTGTATGCGTTGTGTGTGTGAGTTTGCCTTAAATGGCCTAAATGTCCCAAAAAAAAAAGACTTTCCATTATCTGCTGCATGTCGTCTCAATGTGTCACCATTTAAAATGAATATTTAGATTTTTACTGAACTGTTTGTTTTACCTTTAACAGTGGTTTCTTATGATACAGTGGTCATGAGACCGAGCGGTACTTTCCCTTGCCCTGTGATGGAGGGGAGCTGGCCAAATATTTTGACCCTATAAAAATGGTTATTTATGATATTTGCCTAATTGAACTTCCTTGTTTGTTTGTCCCTAGAAAGCTTATGTGATTCATTGGGTGCATTTGCGTCACTACTCTTCTATTGAGGATGCTTATCAGAATGGCAGAAATAGATTGGAAGCTATGTTGTCACGATTACAGAATATGGAACTGTAAGTAGCTTTGACCTAACATTTGATCTCTTTTTTTGTTTGCAATATTTTAAGATCTATCTGACTATGCGTTTTTTACTTTTTTTTTTTAATTTTTTTTTTAATTTTTTAATTTTTATTTATTTATTTTTTAATTTTTTAATTTTTATTTTTTATTTTTTTTAAGATCTGTCTATGCGATTTTTACTTGTTAATGCCTTTGCCTACTTGGTGCAGTCCAAGGTTGTCTACTGGATCAGTCAAATTTCATACTAGCCACTTTGGCGCTCCATTGAAAAGATCAACAATCACCGCAGAAGAATACAAGCAGGCTGTTTTGCAAGCAAAAGAACACATTTTTGCGGGTGACATTTTTCAGGTTGTTTTAAGCCAAAGATTTGAAAGACGTACATTTGCGACTCCCTTTGAAGTTTATCGAGCATTAAGAATAGTAAATCCAAGTCCATATATGGCTTATGTACAAGTATGTTTGTAATTTCCAGCATTGGCTAATTTTCTAATGTTTCGGTTATCCCATAATTGTAGCTGGCTAAGCATAGTTGCAATTGTTTTTAATTATTATTTCCGGTTTCTCTAATTTCATTTCATCTTTGATATTAGGCAAGGGGATGTATACTTGTAGCATCAAGCCCTGAAATCCTCACACGTGTAAAGAAGGCAAGTTATTGCATTTTTGTTGAAATTTCAAGTTCTGGACATTTACAAGCAAGATTGTCAATGTGCAGAAAGTTTTTTTTTTCCTTTGAAGAATGAAGTGCAAACAAAATGCATGTTTTAGCTAATTGAAGCTCACATAACAATAGAACATTAAATAGTATTATGTTATTCAGCAATCTTAATTCCAATCATAATTTTAAATGATTTATGACGTTCTAAGTCAAATATTAGCAAGAAAAATTACAAACTAGTACTCAATTAAAAAAAAAAAAAAACTAAACTAAAGAGATGTTTTATGCATATTTTTATTATAAACACATTCACATTGATAAAGAGTTTAGGAGGAAATATCAAAACAAAAATTAAAGAGTTTTGGGACTCAAAAGTAAAAGAGGAAGAGTTGAAGTATAAAATGAAGTAAAGAAATAAAAACTTGGCTTGAAATCAAAGTTCCATTTGTTTGTGTTTGCAGTTCACTTGAGGTTGTTTGTGCCTTTCTTCTCCTGCTATTTGTTTGATGATATGGTTGATCAAGTGAGTTATGAGCTTTTACATCTTGGGTGGCATTTGTGCTTGCCATGCGGAGGAGAACAACTCAGATTTGTGCGAAACATGATGGGAAAAATTATTGTTTATCAGGACTAGAAAATTTAGACACTCCTTGTGTGAACCTTAATAGCACTTATGCTGGCATCAATCTAAACCGATCTCTATTCTTAAATTGCAGGCTTGAGATATGCTCAATGCTTTGTAGTACATGGTTTTGCTTAAAAAGTGAACTTGAAGCGCACTTTGACAACATTATTTATATGCACCATCCTTTTGTCTTTCCTTCAAAGAGTTATAGTTCAAGGAATTATTGATTAAAACTCTTCTTTTTAAAGAAATCCACTTTACCATTTTTTTTAACATTATAGTATGATCCTTAATAACATCACAAGATTGACATATTTTTGCTTTTTTTTTTTTAATTGAAGAGCTTGATTGGTTTTCCTCATTGTGTCTATTTTTACATTATTAGGCTTAAGTTTATGTTATTCAACAATTTCCTTCCTTGTTATCCAACAATACAATTATTTGTAGAGTAGGTTAAATTAGTATTTTAAAAGATTTAAGAAGATGAAATTAGGAATTGAGGTATTTTGCCTTAATGAGATGAGGAGCCTCGAGGCATAAGTCTTAAAAAAATCCATAAAATTTAAAACAATTCATAAATGTGTCATAAGCAATCTGCATAATGACTTAGTTCATCATTTTAAACCACAAAATTACCCACACACAAAATTTTAATCTTAATTCTTAATCTAAATTGAAAGTTTGAACGAAGATTCAAGGTAAGCATTCACATAAAATTTAAATATACCATGATGATTATAATTCACATTGTAGTCGCATAGCTGATCTCCTTGCTCGTAGTTGCAGCCCACCTTGCTCATAGCCCTGCCCCTCTTCATTGCACTTCATACTACTTGCACACTTCCCACTTGCTTACTAATGAACTACAAAACCCCCTCTCTCTCTCTCTCTTGCGCGCGTGCTTGACTCTCACAATTCCAACCTAAAAATTTTTATTTTTATTTTTATTATATTTTTAAATTCTAACATAAAAATTTGAACCTAGATATAAGCCATATTAGGTATACCATATAATTAATTTTTTTTTTAAAGTGGTTATTAATTTGAGGTGCACCTCGAACGCTTTGAGGCATAAATCCTTGACAATTATCCCTTAAACATAAAATGTGCAAGCATCTCTCAAGTCATAAAATCGTAAACCTAGAGATGGTTTTTGGGCATCTCAAAGTGAGGCATACATTTAATGTTTTTTGTTTGGAGTAAATTGAATTTTTGATGCTTCCCTTGCTCGAAGTTGATGAGTTGATAGTGCGATTTGGTAGCTACACAGAATACAATAAGAAGAAAATGGATGCTAACAAGATGAAGGAATAGGGGCACAACCACTATGCCCAAGTCCATTTGGAAACTATGGTGATGCCTAATGGGGAATTATGCTCCTCCTACTTATTACTTGCTTTGTGTTGAATGACTGATCTGCTTCCCCTTGTTCATTTTCAATCGTGCATTCATTCTGAATTTTGTGCATGCTAGCAATTCTGCTCAAGAAATAAAACTATTATGGCGCTCCATTGTGAGTAGATCCTTGTATGTTGATTTGGACTGGATAGTGATGTATGATTTGAACTGCATCAGAGCTATCAAGAATAAAATTAGTGGTAATTTCCCCTTGCACAATAAACTTGTGGATTTTAAAAACTACTTTTTTCATGCTATCAATTTAAACTTCTCAATTTGGATCTATTGTATTCATGGTACAACTAAACTAATACTCCTGTTAGGTCCAAATTAGATAGAGCTTTCTTTAATGATAAGTGGTTGAATCTCTTCCCGTGTTCTTACCATAATACTACGCCTTCACTATTTTTTGAGCATTCCCCTTTATCTATATTGGGATAATTTCTCTCATTAGACATATATATTTTCAAAAGTTATTTGTGATGGATTTTATGGCACTAATTATAAATGCTTGTAGCATTTTTGTTGATGGAGAGCCTAACTTTGCAATTTTAAGGAACCCTAATATCCTTCCGGAACAATTCGTCCCATCTTTCTAACTTTTTGAAGCTCTTGAGAAATATGCAAGATACTTTTTTGCTCATTGAGAGTGATCTCTTGGACTCCCTTCTATTTGCTTCTAAAATTATTTAAGAAAATTTGATCCATGTTAATAGCTGTGAATGTAATTAGAGTTCTTTTGTCAACAAAAACAATATCAAGCCTTTATCCCACTAGGTGGGGTTGGCTACATAAATCCTTTTTCTCCATTGTGTCTGGTTAAAAGTCAAATTCTCATTTAGATATAATAAAAAAAGGTCATTTCTAATATTTTCTAACCAAGTCTTTTTAGATCTACCTCTACCTTTCTTAACATAGGTTAAATCTAATACATCTACTCTCCTAACCGGGTCATCGGAAGGCCGCTGTTTTATGTGACCAAACCATCTAAGCCTCTAAGGCGACTCTCTCTAATCTTATCTGCCACTAGAGCTACTCCAACCTTTTCACATGTATGCTAATTTCGTATCCTGTCTCTAAGAGTAAAGCCACTCATCCACCTGAGAATCCTCATCTCTGCAATACTTAACTTAATATTATACTTCTCTTTTAATGGCCAACATTCTACGCCATAAAGCATTGCAGGTCTAACCACCATATTATAGAATTTTCTCTTAAATTTGAGTGGTACATTTCTATCACACAACAAGCCTGATGTATTCCTCCTCTTCATCCATCCAATTTGAATTATACCAATAATATCCTTATCTATTTAACCATCACTTTGAACAATAGACTCAAGATATCTAAAACGTGTACTCTTATTAATGACTTGATTGCTCAAATTCAAAACCCCCCACTAGATCTATTACTTCTAAAATTACACTCAATGTATTTTGTTTTAGATCTACTGAAACAATAAACTTTAGACTCTAAGATTGACCTCCATAATTCAAGTTTACCGTCAACTCCAGCTTTAGTCTTATCAAGAAGAAGAATATCGTCAGCAAAAAGCATACACTAGGGAACATCCTCTTGCAAATCTCTAGTAAGATTATCCATGACTAGAGCAAAAATTTATGGGCTTGATGTTGTTGGATAAAAACAAAAATTTCTATTTTCATTTAGAATGTTAAGGTCACTAAAGCCAATCATATTTTTACAATCTTCATTGAAAAGCTTAGCAAAATATCTCATCCACATTTGTTGAATATTCTCTTCTAAAAAAAGTACTTTTTTATTTTCATCCTTAATTGTATTTCTTTTGTCAAAATCTTAAAAATTAGAATTAGAGTAGAGGATAGTAGAAAGTTGGTAATTTTATGATTGATTTTTATTCCCTTGTTATGTGTAAAAAAATATGAGAAACTTTGCATAAAATAAATTTGAAAACCCATCTTTAATTCTGAATCCAGAATTTTACGTAATATAGATGGAATGTTGTTAACCTCTAGATAAATAACAAATGAGAAAGAAATATGAGAGGAGATTTACTTACCTCGTCTCCATCGAGTTGCTGCCCAAAATTCCGGATATCCCGCAAACCTCGGACTCGACGAAAATTGAAATCCCGTTGAAATCCCCGAAATCCTTGCTGGAGCCGTTGGACTCGCATCTCTTCCCGCAAATCCCGCTGAGAGCGGCGCTGTTTGAGTCGTTTCCTGGAATTCATGCGTAAGATCCGCTCAGCCGTACCCAAATCGCGTCGTTAAATACCCGTTGCTCACACGACTCTCTCCCACGACACTCTCGCTGCTCTCGACTTTCCCATACGACGATCTCCAAGCCACTTCTGAACTCCTCCCTTCTTCCTTTCCCACTGCCGAGCTCTCCGATCTCCATCCCGACGCCCTTGCTCCTTCCGATCCAGAGCAGAAAGAGAGAGAGAGGAGATAGAGAGAGTTCCTCTTACCTGAAGCCGACGTCTAGCCGAAGCCGCCTCTCGACGCTCCGATCCCGACCCCGCTCCTATGACTTTTCCTTCCTGTTGTTTAAATTAATTATAACTTATTGTCTTAATTAATTTTAATTAATCATTTTGATTAATTATAATTAGTAAAAAAATGATTATTTAATTAATTATAATTAATCGATTTCTTAATTATAATTAATAAAATATACCCTCTCCATGCCTCGATCCTCGAGCCTCCGCCACCGTCAAAGCCCGCGAAGGTATGAATTTTCTAAACTCAGATTATCGTTTCGTTGTATGCGGCGGATTGGAAAACCGCCTATACACGCCTTTATTGGGCGTGGTGGGATGGGACCCCGGTCCGACGCCTAAGACGAGGCGGGAATCGCCTAAACTCTACTTCGGTGTTCGTGGCGCACCGGAAAACCGCCTATACATCTTTATTGCGCGTGGTGGGATGAGAACCCGGTGCGACACCTACGGCGAGGCGGGGTCACTCATAAGTACCCTCGAG